GCACCTCCTTTCTAACACCTTTGCGTAGACTTTACCTGGGAGGCTCAGTAACGTTATGCCCCTATAATTGTAGCATTCCTTGTGGTCTCCCTTTTTGAATACGGGTACAATAATTCGCGTTCTCCAGTCCGCTGGTGTCTTTCCCGCAGTCATAGCGGTTTGACAGACACGTGTTAGCCAGCACATGCCTTGTTCGCCTAATGCGTTTAGCATCTCAGGGAGGATTTCGTCAATTCCGGCAGCTTTTCCATGTTTCAAGCTTTTCACAGCCTGTGCAATTTCATCTATAGGAATAGTAGCATCCGTTCCCTGCTGCTCTACAGCCGGCGAGTCTTCCTGCGGCTGGGCGGGATTAAGGAGTTCCTCAAAGTACTCCCTCCATCGCCGAAGAATCTAATAATCCTTGGTAAGAGGGTGTCCAGACCTGTCCTTCAAGACTCTGAGACTGTCCTTGTTTTCGTCTCGGAGTCGGCGAATGGTCTGCCAGAATACCTTGTTTGCCGTGTGAAACTCCGACTCCAACACCTCACCGAACTTCTGCCAGAAATCAGCTTCGGCTTTCGCCACTGCTTTCGCTGCAACCTTGCCTGGCTCGACGTATCACACGCGAGTAAAAGCTGTTTGTTTCCGAGTCACTTCTTGATTGCTGCCTTCTTCTCTTTAACTGCCCGCTGAACCTCTCATGTCCACCAGGAAGATCTTTTCTGACCTCCATGCGGCAACCTCGAGTATGAGTAGATATGATAATTTCCGAATGGGAATTTTTACTGTCGGTACCGTTCGCTGTAAAACCTAGTCTGGCGTACGATAATGGCATCGCGCTGTCTGCTCTCCTTCGTTCAGAAAGGATTTTGTCGTTCGTCATCTTCGTGTCCTTCCGCAGCCGCGGTGCCGCTGTACCTCCAGCCACGAGTAGACGTGGTGCAAGTTCTGGTCGCCGTCTTTTCGCACTCTGCCTCACTTGCTTAACAGCCTGTAGCTTTGTTGGTTAATTCGCACGACGACTAAGCCGGTATGACGTTCGATAACGGCAATACCATGAGGGCAGGTGGTTAAATTTTACGAGACCTCGTCGTGATCTCCAGCCCTCCCTGTTTCTTTTAAATTGGCGGCATATTTTTATATTGTTGTAGAATATGTATTGCATATATAACTGTGCTACACTGTACTGTGGTATATATTGATGGATTAAACGTGAAAATTGCTGTGAAATAGATACAGTTTAGTACAGTTACTTATAGTATTAAAAATTATATAGCGTATGTGTAACTGCATAGTGCTACACATATTCCGCTTGACAGGCATGCCTATTCAGTGATATGATATATTTTGTAATAATACAGTTGCGTATCTGTTGCTTTATGGAACTATATATTCCAGTTCATTGATATATTTATATTATATTCAATCCAGTATGTGTCGATTCCCATATGTCAATAAATATGCATGGCAGTGTGTAACATTTTTAAAACGTGGCACAAGTTATGCAGCAAGAGGTATATATCAAATAAAGTATGGTACAGTTTTCTATACTTTGTTCAGTTATGCAGTGTATATGTAAGTTTGCTGTGCTGTATTTAATATGATATATGCACATGTTTACTTAATTTTGCATGATGTACGTGGCTTTACTGCGTAATACGTATTGTTTAAATGTTTGCTGAAAGACAGCATAAAAACGATAGACTGATAAACAACGCAAACAGTGGCCAATGAAATATTGCTCGATACTTGCCGATTAAGTGCATGCTACACCAAATCTACTGTGAAGTAATACTGGACAGTGTTCCAGGTACGTAAGTACACTAAACTTCACTTAAATGCAGAACATGCCTACGCGTTGTATTTCATGAACATCAGTGGATAGTGCATTTCATAATGCCTGACGTAATTAGGTCTATTTTGTGGAACTGTGCTGTACTTACTGCATTTTATAGTTATGGATTTAATGCAAAGATTTAGACTGTAGTAAATGAAGTCATGTTTATTTTTGTTGTAAATTATGCATTGCATATGATGTTTAGTGGAATGTCCAACAGGATGCAGCTATGTGAGTGCTAGGCATTTTAATGTTACATATAACTGTGTACCATTATCCGTAATACACTTGAATTTATGCGTGTAATCAATTATATTATGGTAAGTCTGGTCCAGTGAAGCCATTTATGCTATGCTCGATACGTAGTAAATGCGTCCATGTGCAACTTCCTTGGATGGCGCTTACTGTGCCTAATTACCTGAACCTTATATTGTGCGTTACATAATGCCTTAGTGTCGGCTACAGTAATTGCAACGGCAGTTAACTCTGCCATATTCGAAGTACATACGGAATCAGACATGAACGTGTGCAATTGCCTTTAGTTTTTTTGGACCTATACATCTTTGGTCGTACATTACATACATTGCGTGCTCTAGTGTTTATTTTTTGCATACATTTAATATCAGTACAAAGAAGTACAGATAAAACGTAGGCGCAATGTTGTTATACTGTTATGGCAAGTGTCCTATTCTGCATATATTTTGTAGCCCTGCCACAAATGGCCGCGACCTTGCCGCATTATCCTTATAGCATTTTGCCGTTGCAAGACGACCAATGGATGCGCAGCGTCAGGAAAATCTGCAAAGTTCTGAGGCCGCATTGGAAAGTAGATGGTATGCAGTTCAACGTAAGTGTGTCTTTGCGAAGTTTATTTCAGAGATCATTGCCTCTACGATTGAGTTACCTCGCTTTTTGTAGTTCCTTAGTGGCGGCTACATGAACAAGACCCTGTGCTGTTTGTGTCCTGAGAGCGAAGCGGGCGAAAACGAACGTCTGTTGTTCCGGATAACTCTGATCGAAGATGAGCAGCTAATTAATAGGTCAGTTAAATGTGTAAGGAATGTGAATTTTCTGGTCGATGGTAGCGGACAAACCTTGTTTTGCAGGAAGGCGGAACTCGAAGCCCTACAGCTGATGCATGACCACTGCAACGGATCTCATTTATATTGCACATTTGCCAATGGACTCGTCTGCAGCTTCCTGCCAGGGTCCACGCTGAATCCTAAACAGCTGGCTGATCAAAAAATATCAAGGTTTTGTCGCTGAGGCTGTGGGGCCTCCTCGTTTCTTGTTCATCTATTGTGACTAATTACTGTTGCTGATATCAGACTTATTTCGAATTCGATGGCTTCCATGCACGCGTTGGCTGCTCACGTCGCAAAGTCGTTGTATTTGGAGAAAACCGGCGAGCACTATTTAGCGAACGTTATGTCGCTTCTTGTCAGCAAGACGATTAACGCCCCATGTGACATCTGGAATCGATTCAGGTGAGTAATCGACACATGGTTCAAAACTTACGTACAGATTTCCGATTTTTTAAATTTATTTAAGTTAAAAATAAAGTAAATTAACTGTTCTTCGCTTGTTATTTAATATAATTATTTAGTATTTTAGCGGCAGTTTAGACAAACGTATATACCACTATTCTAGGTTTTCCAGCAAAGGTTAAAGTTCGATACAGACTTCTCATAATGACATGGTGGGCTGCCTCTTTAGCAAAACTGATTATACATCGAGTCCTATGTCTGTTTACTATTTCTCCCAGTCGCGCTTTAAACAAACATTTTTTCACATTATTCTTGAGAAAACTAAGTACATGTCAAGCGATTTCGCTTAAGTGAGCAAGGTGTCTTTGGAAAATGCAGCATTAGTAAAGCTATCGGCTGCATATGCTTAAGGCAGTTCATCTGAGAACGTGCCTATGACATGACAATAGAACATCTGACGAGAAAAAAACCGGTTGATATTGCGATAACGCCACTAGAGAGATCTTAGGAAGATAGATCAGCACCATGCTTAACATTCAGATTTCCAACACTACTGTACCACCTACTATGCGATGTTGGAGTGGATCATGATCCCTAACTGAGCGAGGTGAATAACGGCTGGACACTTAGCGAGCCATGAAAAGGAGAATACTGTGAATCATAAAAAAGGACGACTAACCATGGTCATTTAATCACCCACTTAGTATTGATCGTTAACTTGCTAGCTTTGTCCATGAACAGTATTCCTCTTATTGATAGAGGTTTCACGATTTCTTCTCTGAAAACTTTTGGTTAACCTTTAAAAGGCTGACTTAGGAGTTGACTGGAGCCTTCACTCAGATCTTTTACTTTACGTAAAGTCATTGAGCAGCGTCGACGATTTCATTGGTTTGTCAGTTTCTATTCTTGAGAGCAACTATATTTCACTCCATCGTCGCACGATGTGGAAAATTCATCGATTCATGATTCACTCCATCGTCGCACGATGTGGAAAATTTTTGAAATGTTATGGGATACATACACACGTCATTTCTCTTTTGGAACTGATGCATGCAGGAACCATGTGCGATGTCAGAGTTGAGTAGAGCTATCAGTATTTTCCTGCTAACTGTGACGTTCGCCAGGGATATGTGCTTTTGCCTTTGCTATTCGACATTGTTCTAAACTTTTCTCATCGAAACAGTGTTGTTTCTGGAAAGAACAACGGTTCTCTTCTGGAGAGAAGTTCCGTTTAAAATACTGACTAGATTTCTTGCTGACTTGGAATATGTAGATGATACTGTCATAGTGAGTAGTAAGGGAAGCGGGCTCTGTCACATGACGGCATCCGTATGCAACACAGCTGTGAAAGTTGGCAGCTACCTTAACGCCGATTAGTCAAAATTTGTGAGGAATCCGTCCGTCAC